CTCCCCAGAAGCTGCCTTTTTGTCCCTACAGTTGATACCCCTTGTTGTCTTTGTTTTCTCTTGAAGAAACCATGGAATGGGTGACACATCCATCAAGTTTGARGTGGTTCCTGGGAAAAACCAGAAGAGTGAATATGTCATGGCATGTGGCAAGCACACAGTGCGCGGATGGTGTAAGGCCTTTTTTCCCCTGCTTCCCACATAGGCTGATGTTTTCAGATAACTGCTGGGGAATGATGCCAGATTGTGTGGTCTTATCCTCCTTTCTACATGGCTTGGTCCCTCTGTCATTGCCCTGAATATCAGTCCTGAGCCACAGCTGTTCGTGTTGGCTGCACATATTTGCCTGAGGTTGGACTGGTGGCTGTCCTGCCTGTATGTCTTCTTCCTTTTCTACTCCTCTCTTCATCTAGCCCCTATCCATGTGGGTGGGAGAAGGGACCAAACAAACTCTTGGAGCAGCAGGCAGAGGTTCCCATCTACTAGCTGGCTATCACCTACCCCACTGTATTCTGATCTCTGTGGGTACTACCTGTAGTCTGCTCACTTTGCATCTGTTTTTTTGTTGTTGTTGTTTTTTTTTTTTTTTTGGTGTGGTATTGGGGATTGGATTCCCAAGGGCCTTCTACCACTGAGCTTCATCCCCAGCTTTTTTCATATTTTATTTTGAGACAGGCTGTCATCAAGTTGTCTTGAACTTGCAGTCCTCCTGCCTTAGCCTCCTGAGTTTCTGGGATTGTTAGGCATATGTCATTATGCCTGGTTCTGAAGTAACCAGTTTTCAAAGCTAATTTAAGCTGGGCATGGTGACACACCCCTGTAGTCTTAGTTACTAGGGAGACTGATCGGGTAGAATTGCTTGAGGCCATGAGTTTTGAGACCAGTCTGGGCAAAATAGTGAGATTCCATCTTAAAAACCAAACAAAGCAAAATAAAAACATCTAACTAATTGTAAAAGAAAACTACTATAAACACAAATTAGTTTTATATGGATTAGAAGTAGTATACAGTGGGTCTGAGAAATTACAGAACCACATTTAAACCCATGTGTGCCCTGCTGCCTCTGGGATTTCCCTGTACCCTGCAGAATGTAGTCACCACTGAGACAGGCCCCTGAGCAGGCTGGGTAGGCATGAGCCACTTGGTTAAAATGTTGGGAAGTATCATTGATCTGTCTGGAAGGCCTAGGAAAGGCCTTTTGCTGGATCTCCACCTCATAGCACCTTCCCTCAAGGAGCAGCATGCTTACAAGGTAGGTTGCTGCTAATCTGTTTGTCAGGGAGTAGGGTGGAGGATGGAGACTTCTCAGCTGCTTGGCCTGGGTACATACCCTTACCTGGATTGTCTAAGGTCATACTCTAGGCAGCAGCTATTGCTTGGTCACAGGACTGTGACTCTTGGGTACYCAGAAGTGGAACATTGCTTACTGTCCTATAGAATGCTCCAGCTGGTCCCTGGGTAAGTGTGGAGGATCAGTGACTTCTATTTGTGTGAAGTGGCCACGTGAACACTGGGTGTTTCACATCCAGATTCCCTCTCTTTAACTTTGCTCTTCCTTTAACAGGTAAGAATAAGAGAGTTGGGAAACAGTTAGCTTCTCAGAAAATCCTTCAGCTGCTGCACCCACATGTCAAGAACTGGGGGTCTTTACTTCGCATGTATGGCCGTGAAAGCAGCAAAATGGTCAAACAGGTAACTGGACCCCTTGTCAGATCCTAGGGTAATTCCTCTGCTTCTTTGCCTCATGCCCTAGAGCTTGCATCTGGGGTCTTGCTGTCCGAGGGTCACAGTTTGGCAGCACTGCTCTTGCTCATGACYGCCTCTCTGCTATGTCATGTCTGTGACCATATGGGTAGGAGGTAGGGTCATCTAAGCCATCTTCAGGGGACATGGGCTGAGCCTCGCTTTGTGGCTTTGGGGGAGGTGACTGAAGTGAGAGACAAGGCTACAAGGCCAGGCATAAGATGTAGACCATGCCCTATTGCTGAGGTTTGTGAAGGATTGAGAGCCAGGCCCTCAGCCCTTCCCAGGGCAGTGTCCTCTTGTGCTTAGTTCAGGACTTCCAACAGCCTGAAGAATGTATGTGTTTCGTTTCTTTAGTTTTTGCCAAGATTTTAAAATTTAAAACAGTGCCCAAACCTAAGGGGTGGAGGGAGGTACTGGGAGGTGAGTGTTAACATTTTCTATTTTTATACCTAATGTTTACAGAAACCATCAGGGTTGTCAGAATCCCATTTAGTTAAGGGGTAGTGGGTTGGTGGCTGCAGGTAGGATGACCCTAAGGGTTGTGTTGAGTCTTCATGCCACCCTTCCTTGGACTGAACCAGCAGCCGGGAACAACACAAGAACCTTGAGACCATGTCCTTGCTCTGGTCATGACAAGGCAGAGTCCAAGAATTACATGGATGCATTAATGACCTGTATCCCCCCTACCCCCCACCTGTGGTGCTAAGGCTCAAACCTAGGGCCTCTTATGCTAGGCAAGTGCTCTATCACTGAGCTATACCTCCCACCCCAGGGTAGACATTTTAGGTAAATGAGTTCAAATGTAGGTTAAATTTGCCTTTGCTGTGCATAGTCCTGGGCTAAGACTGAGGGAAAGAAGGCAAGCATTGCTTTGGCTGTGGGTGGAAACCTTTCTCAGCTGGAAGACAGTAGGCCCAGCCTGACACAGCCAGGAGGAGCTGACACAGTGCAGGAGGAGCTCTGGCATCTCAAGGCACAATAGGTGTCCTTGGCCATAGCCTCTCAAGACAGCTTATTCTGCCTACTGTGCAAGTTGTGGGAATATAGAGAGCTCAGTTCTGGGGATGTATCTGGCTGGCAGTGTGCTATCTCCACAGGCTGCATCCATGATCTGGTCACTGTTCTGAGGGCTTCTGGCACAGCAAGYTCCTGGCTTCCTGTTCTACCCATTGTAGGAAGTGTAGCTTTCTGTCCAGTGAGGTGGCATGTTCAGGGAGCTATGAACTGCTGCTTCACATTCTCTGCTGCTGTCAGCAGGCCAGGTGCAATCATAGGCAGGTGTCAATGTGTAGTTGCATGGCCACAGCTCCTGGCYGCTATGTGCCTGACAGATCCTAGTGCTTCTACCTCAAGGGATCATGAGACAAACTGCTGCTAGCGGTGGAAAGGTTATGGGCCCTAAAGAGCAAGGCTTTGTTATTCCCTAGGAGACTTCTGACAAGAGCGTGATCGAGCTGCAGCAGTATGCCAAGAAGAAYAAGCCCAACCTGCACATACTGAGCAAGCTCCAGGAGGAAATGAAGAGACTTGCTGAGGAGAGGGTGAGCACTATCCACAACTACTGTCCCCTCATTTACTCCTGCAAGCAGTCACTGAGCCAGTAGCATCCCTAGGGCAGCCATGGAGGAACATTAGATACTATGAACCCATTCCTGACCTCTGACACTCTGGAAATGTCTGAATCCTCCTTCCAGATGAGACTTGCTTTTCTTTGAGCTTCAATGTCATACTTTTGTAAAATAGCTTTATTTTTAGTTAAGGTAGAGAATCAGTAGGCCAGCCTGCCAGTGGGTGAAGGGCTCAGCCTCTGAGGACTGACTGGGTCTTCATTTGGAGCTGGGTGTTTGATGACAGGGATGGTACAACAGCTTAGGTCTCCTGAGGAACTCCAAAGGGTCACAGAAAACTGAACCTGGGCAGGGCTTTGTCCTGGTGAAGCTCCCCCCTCCCCTCAGGCAGATAGTGGTGTTCCCTGTCCCCAGGCACTGTTCATGTGATCATTTACAACCCCACCTAGACCTTCCAGGTTGCAGTTCTTTCAGCTCTGGCATCAGCCTGCACCCATGTACAAATCCTTAGAACTAGATGTCTGCTGCTTGTGGTCTGGGAGATGCCTTGCTTTTGCTTTCAGGTGGGGTTAAACCTTGCCTGCCTGAAAGTAGCAGGGCTGACAAACCTGCTCCTAGTTGGGAAATAGGCTTTGGGGCCCAAGGGCAACAGGCCCAGGACATTGTGACATTGGGCAAGCAAAGCAAATGAAGAGGCTAGCTGCCCGTGCCATCTGTGCCTTATTTTGCCCCTGCAAGTACCCATACCTGTAGCTGGGATGAGAGAGACTCGCTCTAAAGGGAGGGGTGAATCCTGGCTTCTAAGATGTCACCTCACTCAAGTTCTTCACTTTTGGGTATGTGTCCTGATTGCCAGGAAAGTGATAGCACATGGTGTCCCTGGGAGATCCTCTTCAGTCCCAATCTAGCTTGCTCCTCAGGCCTTCCATATAGCTAAGCACTGCAAGCACCTGTGCCCTCTGGAGTCCAGGGGTCTCCTGATGCTGGTCTGCTGGCCTCACCCTGCCTCTCTCCTAAGCCCACCTCACTCATATCCTTGACCTTTTGTTCTTCCAGGAGGAGACTAGGAAAAAGCCTAAGATGTCTATTGTGGCATCTGCCCAGCCTGGTGGTGAACCCCTTTGCACTGTGGACGTGTGAGGGAGGCAGCCTGGGCTGGGGCAAGGGGCCATCAGCAGCACTGCCTGGGAGAATACCAGCCACCCACCGCTCACTCTGCAGCCTCAGGCCACCAACCTAAGTTAACTTCCCTGCAGCCAGTGTCTGGAACCAAACCAGACGAGGCTCTGGTACATGGGGACAGCCATGGCCATATACAGCACAACGGTCAAGCAGCAGTTCTCTTCTGGAAGCTGCTCCCAGGCCTGAATGGATGTGTTTAAGGATCAATTCCAAATGATTACCCAAGTGGAAGCTAATAATTTGGACTGCTGCAGACTGCTCATATGCACCTGCTACAGGCTTTTAATGAAGGTTTTCATGAATTTTAGTATATAACACACACTGACAAGAAATGATACTCAGATGACAGTTGAGTAAGGACAGCTGAGTCCTGTGGCTRTGGCTGGCTCCTGATGCCAGGTGGCCCCTGTGCCCTGAGCCACTGCAGGGACCTGTTAGAAGGTGCACATGGCACCCTGTCCCTTACCACCTGCCTTCTGTGTTTTCCCTTTTTCTCTGAAAAAGTTATAAGRGTTAGGAATATTTCAGACCATTTTGGTTTAAAATAAACAATTTTAGCATCGAACTATTTTTCAGAGATTGCGGGCAAATCATCAAGGTAGCTATTCTCTATTTGTGACTGAAGTTGCCAGTGAGGACACCAGACCCAGTCTCTGCATCAACTTGGCCTGCTACTGGGCTTGGTCTACTCTTTGATCTTGTCTTAATGTCCTAATACTTGCCTCCCTGGACACTGAGGCCCCTGCCTTTGTTGGCATCTGGCAACAGGTTTTTTTACAAAGATTTTTGCACAGTTGAATCCATCTGTCCACCCATCAATTTTTAAAGCTTTTATGATATTTTAGCATTTGCAAAGAAACTTTTACAGTGAGAGTAGAAGGTAGATTTGAAATCATGCATTTAAGCAAGCGGACTTCTTTGAAGAAACAAAGGCCTTTAGTGCAGTACGCCAAGGGCTAGCTGAATACATGGTGGCTGACTCAACTTTTAGTGACAGTGGCCTCCTTGGGTTTCAAGGGCAGTTCCCCTGTATAGCCAGGTCCAGTGTCCAGCTGGCTTTTCAACTTGTCACCTGTGCTCACGGGGTAGCCTCTCTGAGGTAGATTTTTCTGTCTGAATTAGCATGTGTGTGTTCAGGACCCTGGTGGTGGTGGCCAGCAATTGAACTGTCCCCAGCACCTGTTCAGGGGTCATGTGCTCACTGGACACCAGAGCCCAGCACTGGGCTGTATCCTCATGTTCCATGACATGTCTCCTATCATATCCCTGCAGTCAAGAAGGCATTTGTCCTAGAGACGGAATGTCATCTGAGTTGCCCACACTGTATCCCTCCCTCACACCTGTGTGACTGAGGTTGACTTTTGTGTTGACCTTGAGGGGGGAAAAAAAAAAACAACCAAAATCAAGTTGCTGTAATTAGACACTTGCTTCTGTCTTGCCTCCTGTCTGCAGCTGTGAATAGTCATTTGACCATGACTGTTGCCCTTGAAACGGCCAGATTGACCATTGTGAACCAAAGCTTTGTGCACACATTAGCCTAGAAGACAGTGAGCTTCACTGGGCTGGTTTGTCCCAGATGCCACCACAGCAGGTGCTGCCACACAGTTGTGGTCTCTAGTGTCCTCCCTCTGCTACACATGGGCASAAGCCCTGTATGCACACAGCTGTACTGTGGGGCCTGTGCCAATGCTGCTTCTGTGCACTAGGCCACAGCTGTTTGAGTGAGCCTCAATGGTCTGAACACATAAAGCAAACTCTAAAAGGGAATGGCTGATATTTATTTCTTCTGGGCAYGGGGGTGGAATAACATTGTGGACCCTCAATTGGCTGGACTCCAGCCCCTTGGAGGCTGCAGTGCCTACTAGTAGACACATCTGTCCTTGTTAGGGGGTTAGCAGCAACCTGGTATGTATAGCCTTTGGTCACAGTATGGAGGTGGCCTTCTTCCTGGGTTGAGGGTCAGGTTGATTTTGGGAGCAATTAGGATCTTTTCCTCAGGTGCAGGGACATCCTTCTGCTTGCATACTCTGGAACATCCTGTTGATGCTTGGTCTTGAGGCTTGTGTGTCTCTGCCTCTCCAAGCATAAAACCTAACATCCTATTAAATAGCAAGCTTTGCACTGTTCAGGGCCTTGGTGAACTCCTTTGGCAAGCCATGCAAATTGACCCCCAGCCTGATATCCAGGCCTGGTAGGGTGTCATAGAGGCTCAAGGGTCAGACTAAAATGAAGGGCAGAAATTCCCAGGCAGCTTGGATAGGGTTGAGATATTTCACTCACCCTGTCCCTTTGCATGCACAGAATGGGGCAGAGAGGAGTCCCTGTTTACCAAAGTTCTTCACAAACACCCTGAATTCAGCAGTTGTTTATTCTGGTCCTCATAGCCTGGCTGTTCCAGAAGGATGGGGTGAGGGATGGACAGGCCATAGAAGTCCAGCTGTCTTCTGAGCCATATCACGGTCATGTTGGTCCTGGCAAGGCAACTAGGCCTTGTGCCCTGTGATTGCTCTTCTAAGCATCTTGAGACAAGCAAGACTGCGGGAAGCCCCCTAGCTTCTGCCCCCATGATAAGCCCTGTTCTGGAAGAGCTGGACCCTGCAGTTTCCAGGGCCTAGGATGAAAAGGAGGCCCCAATTTCCAGAGTGGTATCATTAGCGGGCTCTTGTGAGGGCTGGGCTAGAGGGCCTTGGTGCTCTAGGACTCCTGTACTATTGGGGTGTTCCACCCTCTCGAACAGAATGAGCATCTCACAGTGTGGGGTTTGTGGGAACAGGTCCACGGCCACAGCTTTGACTGGTCGGAAGGGGATGCCCTTGACCCGGTTAGATGGGGCCCTGCAGAGGCTGTAGTGGGAAGGGAGTGCCAAAGTCAGTCCTACAGGACTAGCCAAGGACTCCTGGGGGAGGCAGAAGAGTGCTGGGCCCCGGACCACCCCAGATCCCTGTTTTAACACTCACTCCACAAAATTGCTCATGGCTGCCCGGGGGTTGCATGAGACATACAGGAGCCGCTTGAGGTTCTCAGCTCTTCGGATGGCAAGGATCACCTTGGAATCTGAGAAGGCAGATATAGGCTAGGTCCCCAGACCTTAAACTGCACAGCCTGGCAGGCCACCTGCCATCTCCCCAAGTGTATGTCACTCACGCAGGCCAGCTCGCGGTGGGTCCAAGATGGCCACAAGCTGTTGGGAGGCCAGTCTGCACACCAGAGTGGGCACCAGGTCCTCAGCCCTCCCGCAGTGGAATTCAACGTTGCTTAGCTCTGAAGATTGCACCATTGTTGTCAGTGGGCCTGGGATAATCTCCCCCATGGGTCCAGCCCTGAGTGGCACCATAAGGCTCTTTGGAAAACACTGGCCAAAGAATTTCTTCTGTCCTATTGRGTACCTTCAGAACTGGAGCATGTGGGTCTACAGGTTCCTTTTGGGCCCCTCTGCCCCCCAACAGGTCCTCAGAGCCATGGAGTATGTTATAGGTACAATGGTTGAGGTATAACCAGGACCACCAGCCTGCTGCATGGGCTACAGACTCTCACCATTGGCATGGGCATTCACCCGGGCATCCTCCACAGCCTCCTGGCATAGCTCAATCCCAATGACTCTCTTTACCTTCTGAAATGGAAAAAGGGCCAGATGATGGCTCCCTGTCTGAGGCAAAGTGGGCAGCTGAATCAGACTGGGTCTGGGACCTGGGAAAGGACTGAGCCTTCAAGTTGTAGAGGTCARTGGGAGTAATGGGGGAGGGTGGAGAGGTGAGAGGGCAACCTCAGCTGGGTCAGGAGGGCTTACCCAGGCAAGGGCCAGGCCAATGGTACCGGTGCCACAGCACACATCCAACACTGTACTTTCCTTGTCCAGCTGGGCCCAATCCTGGATGACTGTGTAGAGCACCTCAGCTGCAGGTGTGTTCACCTGGAAGGTGGCCATGGCACACTCAGTGCAGGTCTCCCCTCCTGGGGCAGCCCCTGACCCCAGAGGCAGGCCTACCACCCCACACACCTAGGTTCCCAGCTCCATCCTGCTGAGACTTTCAGGGTCTCAGTGACACGCCCGCTGGCATCATGCCAATAATCTTACCTAGTCTCTTGACTTTAAAAACCAAATTTGTGCCAATGTGCACAACCCTAACCACACCCCCAATTATAAGAAGCATTTCTATAATTAATGGATTTGTATGGCCCGCTCAACCTTATCCAGCTCCCCAGACTACAGCCTCCAATGGCTTCCTTCGCGATGCTAGTAGAGCGTATCTCCCAGCCCCACCTCTGGCCTTCCAGCAGGTCCTGCCAAGCCTGACTTCAAAATAGGGTCTTTACCTATTCTAAGTCTCCATACCTCCTAAAAGGTCTCTCCAATGTCAGCAAGAATGAGGGTAAAACTATTCTCTAGCCCAAAGACCACTGAGGCCTCCTCCTTGCCAAGGCCTGGGTAGTGTCCTATGGTAATAAAATGTGCMTGTTCCTCAACCTCTCTGTGATGAGAAGGGCCATCACCACGTGTATCTATGGGTTACAAGTATCGAATCAGGGACCAACAACCACTTTCCCACCCCAGTCTTCCTGTGCCTCCCCCACCTAGATGCTTTCCCCAGATATCTGCAAGACTAGCTAGTTTTTTATTGCCATCTAGTCCACACTGTCTCCAACATGCTCTGATGTTGTGTCAGGCCTCCCATTCTTATGTCCTTGTGCCACACCTACCTGGAAAAAGGCATGAGGAGAGATCTGGAATGTCAGCCCAAGCAGGTCCTCCTGAATACACCGGTCCCCAGCCACATGCTCCAGGAGTAGGCCCTCCTGGCTGGGAGTCTTTCTGTGTGTGGAGAGGCAAGTGTATCAGGGTCACCTGCTCCTGCAAGCTTCCCTCCTGTTCCCACCTGGGCTCCTCACCGCTGTCCCTCCTCCACGAAGTAAAGACAGGTCACCCCGCTGGTCCTGCCTGGTCCCTCCATGAAATGTTGTACCAGGGAGGCCTTCAGCCCTGCCAGTTCCTCATGGCTCAGTTTCTAGAGTAGGTGGTTCAAAGCCCCATCAGGTTGTGCCAAGGCAACTCTCAGAGACCCTCCCCCACCAGAGCCACCCGCCTGAGACCTGGGGGTGGAAGTAGGCAATGGCCATGGCCTGGCCGCGGCGGCTGGTGCGTACAGTCAGCTGCTTCCAGTGGCCTGCATATGTCTCAGGGTCATATGCAGAGTATGGGGTGGACCTGTGGGAGCCATGAACAGCCATAAGTACCCAAAGTTTGCCAACCAAGACCAGAGGGACAGCATTCCTGCTTTCTCCCCCTGGTCATCTCTCCCCTCACCCTCTCCTCATGTTTCCCAACAGCAGGCACTCCAGAACCCTGGGGAGGACCCACACCCTCTGCTCCCAGGTGCTCTCAGAACTTCCCAGGGGCCCAGTCCCAGAATCTCACCGTATGAATTCCTGGAAGGATTTCACCACCCGTTTCGTGGCTTCAGGGATATGCACTGTGTCAAAGGGGGCTGCTACAGCACACGTCCCACCCTTGTATTTGCCAAGTCGGCAGCCAACAGTGTTATCTTCCCCATCTACCCCAACGCCAACCAGAAACTCACACTTATTACGATACTCAGTCTGTGGGGAGAGAAGGCAGAAAGAAGCAGCCAGAACTTACCCTGGCTATCCAGCACTTGTGTAACATAGCAGCAAGAGCAATACCCCAACTTCCCCACAGAGGCTGGCAGTTGAAAAACAAGACAACTACTGGTCACATGATGAAACCAGGAAGAAACAAAATAGGAAGAGCAAAAAGAAAGTTTTTAAAAAAACACAGGATGGGCTGGGGTGTATGTTGCTCAGTGATATGGTGCTTGCCCAACATGCTTGAGGCCCTGGGTTTGGTCCACAGAACTGCAATACCTGCCCCCAACACAGGATAGGGGCTTGTGGCCATCCCAGTCCCACCTGACCTGCTGGGGTGATGGCCTGACCCCCTCCAGTGGGCAGCAGGCCTTGTTGTGCTTGTGCCTCTGTGTGAGCAGCCARGGCAGCAGTGTGCGATTGGTGTTTCCAATTTCCCTGCAGGATGAAGGAGATCTGTGGTTTCAGTCAGCCCACTGCCCCCACCCACATTGGAATACTTCCCAAAAGCTCAAGCTCCTGGGTCCCTCCCTTGAGACCTCACTATTGCCACTGATAATCACAGGAGACTTACTGGCCACCACCCTGACAGCTCAGATCCCATGGTGTATATCCCTCATAGGGCAGGCAGCAGAGTTGAGTTCTGGTGCTGAGAGTATCCTGCCCCAAACTCACTTGGCAAGCCTTTGCAGCACCTGCTCACACTCCAGCCGCTTTCGCTCCAGCTGCTCAGCATAGGGCACTGTCCAAAGAGGGGTCACCACATCAGCAACTCGCATTGCTGGTGGCTCACCCTCTTGCTGCCTCTTCCTGGCCATGGGGTCCGCCTTGGGGCGGGCCAGGCGCACGCTGAGTGGGCGGCCTTTCCAGAGGGCCCCATGTAGCACCCGAAGGGCCTTGTCCCGCTCAGCAGCACTGCGAAAGGTCACAAAGGCACAGGGTGGTTGCCCAAAGAGTTTTGTTTTATGGGGCTGCAGGCCAAAGCGGCCCAAAAAACGTCGGACATCGCTGAAGCTGGCATGTCGAGGCACATTCTGCAGCTCTAGCTTGAAGATCTCTGAGGTGAACAAGTCATCCCTGATGTAATTGTAAAGCCCAGGTTGAGGACCAGAGCCTGCAGCAGTCCTAGGCCCCTCTTTCTCCTCCTGCTTCTCCCGGGGTAATGGGGCTTCAGGGCTGTCCAGGACATTGCTGCAATGCTGGCTGCAGACCTCCATGGGCTCTGAGGCCTGTGTGGACAAACAGCCAGACTGAGAACCAGATCCCGGGGCCTGACATCCCCTTCCCCAGGATCATTTTTCCAACACCCAGGCCCTCAGCCCACCTGCACCTAGCCCCACCCCAACAGGCTTCTCTTTTCTATCCTCCTGAGCCCACTACCATCTCCTTCCCTACCCCGTGTCACCTTTTTATCCCACCTCTTCTTCCAGGGGATTCCTACCCCACCCCAACTCCTCCTCATCTCCGCCCGCGTCTCCCTTCATTTTACTTCGTTGTTCGGCTTCTCACTCATCGTCGGGACAGTCAGCTGCCTGGAGTGGGCGCCACACGAGGGCCGCCTTGGCGCCCAATCTTGGGCCTGTCACACAAAAGGTGCTCAGAAAGCAGGTGCGACGTCGCGAGGCCAACTCTCCAGCTCTGTCCAGGAGATGGGGGGCGGAGAGGTATGTCGGGGATCGAACCTCCGGTGTTCAGAGCCTCGTTTCGGGCACSGGGATGCACCACCCGCCAGCCCACCAGGGGCCCGTGGCAGCTGCTCGATTCGCCAGCCACTCTCCAATCCGCCAGCGCGTATCTCCGGGCCGCGTTTCTCTATGGTCTTGGCTTCCGGTGACGACATCAAAACGCGCCATATCAAATCCTCAAGCCAGTCCCTTTCACCAGCGCCAGAGCGCGCGCGCGGCCGGTGGACGGAAATGTGCGCGGGGGCCGTCGGGAGAGCSCGCTGCTGTGGCTGACTGGCTGGCTGGGCATGCGCCGCGGGCGTTTTGGCGGGAAGCACAGGGTGGGCGGGACAATGAGTGTCCGCTTCCTGCGCCAATAAAGCTGCACTGGTTTTGAATCGCGGCGCGTTTCCCGCCGCCGGGGTCAGGGGTTGGGGTTCGGGTCGCGGGGCGGAGGGAAGAGCGGGCAGGCGGGAGGCGCCGGAGCCAGACGCGGAGGAAAGAAGCTACGACTAGTCGCCTAGAGGCCTCGGAGTCAGTGAAGACCGAACCAGTCGAGCTGCCGCCGCCGCCGCGTTCCCATGGCGGCCGCCCAGGTGCGGCCTGGGCCAGGCGGGGACTGGGCGGGCGGGGGCCAGGGGGCTGGGGCCGCTATCGGCGGCCACGTGGGCGGCCCGTGCCTCCGCCACCAACCCCCGCCGGCCTGTGGAGCTAGGGGCCGGAGCGCGCGGGGCCTGGGGGCTCGAGGCCTGTGGAGTCAAGTCTAGCGGGATCTGGGGGCGTAAGCTTGGTTCGCGCGGGCTGGAGGGCGCTCGCGTGACCTTGGGGTGGGCCGGGAAAAAGCCATTGCCACGCAGGGCTGTCCTGCTTGCCCCAGATAGGGGCAGGAGACCGGTTTCCTCCGGCTCGGCCCACTGGTGGGCTTTCCACCGGGACAGTATTCTTCCATCCCGTCGCCCACGCAGCACTTCATTCATTCGGTCCTTAGGTCTGGAACCGCCGCCGGCCTCCGTGGCGGAAGCTCGTGTTCCAACGAGGGGGACGGGTCGTGGACACGCCGACCCAGGGCGGGGGCGGCTTTGTTGGCTGCTAGTGTCTGGTCGGATGCCGGCCGCAGCGGAGCCGCAGTGCTGTGAAACCAAAGGAAGAACAGCGAAGGGCTTATGTTTTCTTTTCCTGTTTGAGTCTAGTAGTGAGTCTGGGGTTTTTTCTGTATCGTCAAGGCATGTGTTTTGTAAAACTTAAACTTAAATGTGATAATTTGTGCTCTATAAATCTTTGAGTTGGTTCAGACCCTTATGACTTTGACTTGTGATTTTCTTAGAAACCTATCAACTTAATTTTCCAAGCCATGATAAAAATTTTGGCAGAATTGTGAATTCCGTGTAAATACTAGTAGTCTATAGCAGTCTTTTGTCTTTTTAGTAAGAGCATGCATGGATATCCCTTAGTGAAAACTCTTAGATTTGCATTTTGCCATAAGGCTAACATTTGCTGAGTTCGTCATTGTGTCTTTTGATCTTCACATGGCAGGTATCATTATCTTCATTTTACCGGTGAGGAAACGGGGCTCAAAGAGATGAGGGAGTTTCTCCTAGGCTACTCCTCAAGGAGCCACAGACAGTCTGCATGGTTCTGATTGATGTTTGTGGATCTGGGGGAGGGGTGCTGAAATCCAGTGTCTTGCTGCACACTTAGTGCTGTGATTTTGTGGAGTTGGATGTAAATGCACATTTTTGCTGATGTGAAAGTCTGTGAGCTTAAATTCTGATTTGGGGTGAGGCCTGTCCTTGTTTTCCGGATGCCACTCACTATTGGGGATGCCTGCTGTGGGCCAGGTTCTCCAGCCCGCAGCATCACCTCTTTGCATCTTCCTGCACAGGACCCTCATCAGGACCATGATACCTCTACTGAGAATGCAGATGAGTCCAATCACGACCCCCAGTTTGAGCCTATAGTTTCGCTCCCTGAGCAAGAAATTAAAACGCTGGAGGAAGATGAAGAGGAACTTTTTAAGATGTAAGTATGTTCATGTCACTGGAGGGAAAGTTATCTTTAGTAATGTGGAAGTTATGGTTTTTGTGAGCATCACATCTTGGCTTGGCTTGATTGTGGCTATTTGAAGTGTTACCAGAGATAGGCTGTGTTGACAGTAGAAATGAGATGAAACAAAATATGAGCACACACATGCAAGGATTTAATTTACTTTCAACCGAAAGGAGAAGACCTGACCTATGGAGGGACAGGCTGCTCTTTGAACAAAGGCATACATAAGCTTTTTATTGATTTTTCTGGGGTTGGGCTAAAATCTGGTAATTTTCTATTGGTATAGTTTTTGAAGATGTTTTTTCTTGTACCACACTAGGACCCTTCCCTGGGTTCCCTAGCTGTCCTTACTTGCCATCTCACCTCCAGCAGTCCAGTTTCCTTCCCTTGGTGGAGCTGGAAGTCTTAATTGTTTTTGCAGCATAAAGTTGTATCTTACCTGTTTTCTGTTGCTATATCAGAATACCAAAGAGTGGACCATTTACAAAGAATAGAAGTAGGRGGAGATGTAATTCAATGGTAGTGCCCCTTTCCCAGCATTATGTTAAGATATTACTTGGTGGTAGAGCACTGCCTAGCATTATGTTAAGCTGAATTAAGYTTTCAACAAATGTTTAGGGCACATTTAAATAAGTACAAACTTTGGCAGTCTGAAATTTGGGAATTCCCGACTCTTTATTTGGAATTACAAGTGAAGATGGATAGCTTTATTTATGAGGTTTATTTGTGTGTGTGTGTGTGTGTGTGTGTATTTAATTACTTTTTGGTTGGGGATTGGTTGTCTGGAAATTGAACCCAGGATACTCTACCACTGAGCTACATCCGTACCTCTTTTTACTTTTTGAGACAAGATATTAAAACGAGGTCTTACCCAAGTAACCCAGGCTGGTCTCGAATTTGCAGTCCTCAGACCATGCCTGGCTCAGGGTTACTTTTTAAAAAGTAGTGTACACACGTTAGTGGTGGGGAGGTTTTGAAGTACCGCTAAGTATGAGCTTTGTGTTTTGTGTCTACATCACAGAACTACAGAGATCATAGCTTACGCCCAGAATTGCCTGAGATATTAAATTCAGTTACACTTCAGTGAAAGTAAGGTTTTAGTTTATTCYTTGTGCAAATTTGTGCCCTCTAGTCTCCACCCACTTCAGGTAGATCCAAGATACCAGGTTTGGCTATTCTGAGGTGGACGAAGGAAGATGAGAAAATTCCATCCCAAGCCATTCTTCCAGGGATTGGGGCTGGAGAAGGAAGCATGGGCAAAGAAAGAAAGCTACAGGTGCCCTTTCAGTCCTAGAGGGTGGTGGGCATTTTCCTAAAGATACAGGATTACTGGTCTCTGTTCTACCTTGGGATTGCTGTGGCCCCAGGTGGGGATAGCTCGTACTTGAGGTGACATGATACTTGTCACCTCCTTACCTGCCATGGGTTGAGAGTGTTGCTGTCTTGGGCAGGGCCACTTGCTCTCAGACATGAGGCCAGTTGATTGGGCCTTTTCATCTGGACCTTTGGGTTTCCTGTTAAGTAATCTTGTTTTGTTTTTTGGTAAGGGATCGAATTTGAGGGCACTCAACCACTGACATCCCTGGCCCTATTTTGTATTTTATTTAGAGAGAGGGTCTCACTGAGTTGCTTAGCACCTTCCCTTTGCTGAGGCTGGCTTTGAACTTCCCATTCTCCTTTCTCAGCCTCTCAAGCCTCTGGAATTACAGGCATGCGCCACCCACTGTGCCTGGCCTGTTAGGTAATCTTGTGAGAACATGGTATCCCTGGACTGAATTGAGGTTGGAGGAGGGTAGAGTCTTTGGTAGAAGAGAGACAGGCAGAACTGGGGGTGCAGAGGGAGGATGCTAATCTGAGCCCTCAGGACAGAACTATTGATTCACTGCTGGATCCTGGGTGCCCCTATAGGTGTGAAGTACTGCTCCTTGACAGGGAGATTCATGTCCTGGTCCTCTGGGTTGAGGGCACACGAGCAAATTTATCTCTGGGAAGACTTGGGCCTGAGAAAGACCTCTATGTGGCCATGGGATGCTATGGTAGGCTCAGCCTACTGAGGGCTTTTTTACTTTTTCCCTTTGAGGGGGTCATATGTTTTTGCTGGGGAAAATGTTGAAACTATTCACATATTTTTTTCATTTTGGCTGTGAAATTAAAGTGGCCTGTAATTTGTTGGCTGTGCTGCTCTTTTGGGTGGTACTGGGTGCCTAGTAGTTATTTGAGCTCAAAGGAGGGAAAGAGTGTTTGTAGAAACATGGGATCCAGTGGCACATAGCTGTGCTGTGTTTAGCACTCACTTAATGGCTTTTCTTAACAGGCGAGCAAAGCTATTTCGATTTGCTTCAGAGAATGATCTTCCAGAATGGAAGGAACGAGGCACTGGTGATGTCAAGCTCCTGAAACATAAGGAGAAAGGAACCATCCGCCTTCTCATGAGGAGGGACAAGACCCTGAAGATATGCGCCAACCACTATAGTAGGTGGCCTCTTAAGGTTGATTTTTWAATTCTCAGCCCCTAAGCTATGTTAGATTGACTTGGGACCTACAGGAAGTTTTTTTAGGCCTGACTTGGAACCTGGGAATGTGTTGTTACATGGAGTGCATGTTTGTGGTGTTTGTTGAATTTAAGATATGAAGTATACCTTTCTTTTGGGCTCAGTGGTACATGCCTATAATACCAGCTACTAGGGAGGTGGAGGTAGAGGATTGCACATTCTAGGCCAGCCTGGGCATTTTAGCAAGGCCCTGTTTTGAAGTAAAATTATAGAAAGGGATGAGCATGTAGTTCAGTGGTAGAACACTTGGCCTAGCATGTGCAAGGCCCTGGGTTTGACCCCCAGGGCTGGGAAGGAAAAAAAAAGTCTTTCAAATGTGCCTTTTAACTATGAGCTACAGTGAAGCTTAGAGAACATGGGACGTGAGGTTTAATTAGATGGGTCCTGATAGGATGGATGCAGAGCACCAGGCCARTCTTGGGACATGGAATGAATGGGAGGGTGTCCCTACTGCTTTTGTCTGCTGACTGCCATGCAGAAACAATTCATGCTCCTCTTGGTGGGTGCTGTGTTGAGAAGCACATGTGTCCTGGACCATCCCTTGGTAGACCTCCTAGTGCTGAGTCTGTATTTTCCAGAGCTATCTGTGTGGCTCCCAGTGTCTGGTGCATTTTATGGGCCCTTGTCAGGTGGGGAGGATGGTTGTGAGTGTAGGCCAGGCATCCAAGTGGGGTGTGGAGGAGGTACGGATGTGTAGAATGTACAGGAGGCCTGGAGACTATTATGTTGGGCTGCAGTGGATGAGATCTCTGAGCTCTAGTTTACACTGATTTGTAGGTGTGGCTGTGAATGGGGTCATAGACCCACCTGGAGTCCCTGGAGACTTCTGCCAGAGGCACAGGGGTCATTGACTRGGTGGAGATACCAGGGACAAGGTGTCTACAAGATATCTGTAGACAAGAGGCTCTCTTTAGGGGACGCTCCCTGATTGGCTGTGGGACCCGTCTCCCTTCTTCTCCCCTCAAGTTTGCATGGGCCTAATGGGTTCAGGATAAGCATGTTTATTCTAGGCCATTGCCCTGTCTTCATGACTTAGAAGCATTTGTTATGGGACTCTGATATCAACTATTCTCATTCCTCAGTGTTCGTCTTAGACGATAGAACATGGAGTGGTCATGCTGGCCTGATTATGTGTCCTGGATGAGAGTCCTGTTTCTGGATTTCTTCCCTTCCATTGACCCCCACCTTMCAGTCAGCCAGATTGAATGCCATTAGGAAGGGCTGGCTCCCTTGACTTTGCCCTGATGTCTGACTTTAGGCCTTGGGACTACAACACTGGGAGGCTACTACCAAGGGGCTTGGTGTGAGCAGTCACACTGGAATCAAAACTGAAGCTTGCTTTACCCATGTCCACTTTTCTGGAGGTAGGGTCATCTGTGATGAGTGGTCTTAAGATAGTTCATTCAGGAAACCCTCAGAGATATCCTCATGGTCAGGGAGCGGGTGCCTTCCCACATTTAGGACAGTACTAAATGTGGATGGTTTTAAGTGAATATGGACTGTTTTCAAAGAGRTTTGGGTGAAATGTAAACCCTGTGGGATTTTGTCTGGGCCTGGTTCTCAGACCCCAAATTTTCTATGTTGCCTGAAATGAGTCTTTCAGTTTGATGAGCTTCAGAACTCTTTTTGGCCGAAGGGTTTGTGAGCTTTCCTAGGTAGTCCCCATCAGCCTCATAGGCTTTTCTCTTCCAAGTCACGCCAACGATGGAACTGAAGCCAAACGCCGGCAGCGACCGKGCCTGGGTTTGGAACACCCATGCTGACTTTGCTGATGAGTACCCTAAGCCAGAGCTGCTCGCCATYCGCTTCCTAAACGCTGAGAGTAAGTGGAAAGGGGTACCCTGGAGACCTACTGATTGTAGCATTGCAGTGCAGTGTTGCTTTTGGAGAAAAGGTGACAGTGACTGGGAATGTTCATTGGAGAGTTTTGGCATGCTATTTGGGAGCTGTGCAGGGTGTTTCCTCTTAGGTGCTAATGTTGAGCAAGTGTCCATGGTGCAGTCCCAGATCTTGCTCCTCAAGCTCCAATTCCCATTGGGTGAGTGGAGCCTGAGTCAAACCTCAGGATTTCCTACCCATTGGTGCTTTTGCCAGGTTTATGGCTCCCTGAGGCTAGGTACAATGATGTCACCTGGATACCAACAACCTACAGAGACCATGCAGAGGTCCGTAGATCTAGGCTGACCTCTCTCCTGCTTAGGGTTTTTTCATGGATTTGTGAAAGCTGAGGAGTTAGTGGTTGCCATGTCCAGCACCCCAGTAGTTGATGGTTTGGTGGAGTGGGGCTGTCCCTCCAAGACTGTGTGGCTCCCAGTGCCTGGTGCACTTTATGGGCCCTTGTCAGATGGGGAGGATGGTTGTAGAGAATAGTCCTTGGAAAAGTYCTTCGTTGTATGAATTATCACAGTCAGATGAAGGGAGATGGCCCAGCCCATCCTTAGGTTAAAAATTGCATAGGACAAGAGCCCTCTGGGAATCCTGGTCTTTCAGACCCTCTAGGATATGTCCTTTCCACACTTGGGCTCTTAGGAATTTATCTCTTTTCTTTCCACAGATGCACAAAAATTCAAAACAAAGTTTGAAGAATGCAGGAAAGCGATTGAAGAGAGAGAAAAGAAAGGTGACACTATGCTCCTGGAAATGGGGGGTTCCTTGCAGACTCACTCTGCACCCAGCTGCAGTCCCAGGCGGGTGCTTTTTCAGTCTGCTAAAAAAACATTCCAGGAGCTGTGGCTGCCTGAATCTGTCAGGGACAGTGCAGCTGCCTGGGGACACAGGGTACTT